TTTGGCGAAAAACGACGGCAGCAAAATGGGAGAAACAACGGGAGCCGGGAAGATACCGGCTGGGATCTGCATCCCATTGCATTCACATGCCCATAAATTAAAAACTTAATAACGAGCGGCGCGCAGGATCCGAGCCGAAACCAGGACATGCCCAATACGTGTGTCCTGCTCCTGGCGACATCCGCAGTCACGTCACCAATCCCCCTACATCCCTCCCCCCTCTCTGCCACTCCTCCGGACGATGGGTTGCGGCTGCGGCAGCAATAAATCGCTAACAGCAAATAAATCAACGCGCATAAATTCCAGTGTTCGGCGAGGATGCCTGCCCCGACTTTATTTACGACATTGCGACAAAGACAGAGTTACAGCAAAATGCACCCCGCACCCTCGGGGCCTGTGCCCCTCTACATGGCCGCCGCCCGTGCCCCTCCTCGACTTCGCCCCTGACCCGCCGCTGACCCCCAGGCAGTGAGCGGTACGAGGTCAAGTCAATGGGACAGATGCAGCATGTCTTGCTGCCCAAACTCACGATGTTCAAAGCCCATTTCCTAAGTCTTGTCCCTTCCATTCAAGGGCGCATTCAATAATCTATTCTATAAGATTCTTTTGTGGGATGTTCTTATGCCTTCCAATCAAAATATGCTTACATTTGTAACTAGTCTAAATATTTCTAAATTGGAAGGTAAATCAGTAATAAGTGGTTTCATTTTCGCCAAGTATGATAATAACTTCGATTCCCATAAAAGTTAGGCTCGTTGTGTCAAATTAACCCTAATTACTTGGCCATATGACAAAGAAGTAAGCTAACCGTTTTGAAAACTGTTGGGACCAAGCGGCGAATCGCATGCTGCAAGTGGCAAAGCCAATGAACATGAAAAAGGTTGACCTCAGTGTCGTGGCAATATGTCCTGGAAAAATGTCATCCAGCGCTGTCCGTGGTTAACCAAAGAGGAGTTGCTGGCCCAGGGTTAAAAGGGTTAACCCTTGGCTGAAACAAAAAGGAGCGAGCGCTGCGATGTGGAAGGAAACCCAACGAAAATGGTTGTTGGCAGGACAGTCCACGTCGGCAAGGACGAGTATATTTGGCGCATTTAAACAAAAGGATGCCGTGTGCTAGGCAAATAGACAAAGGACATGCCAGGACACATGCGAGGCGCCAAATCAAGCTGTGATTTATGGCCCAGCCAAAGGATTGCCAAGGAGCTGGAATAGGAACTCACACACGGCAACGGAGAAAAAGTGCACAAAACTAGCATTAGCACCCTTGTAAATGTGTAAAACCGCCAGGGACACGGGGACGCCAACAAATCATAAAAATCCGAGTGCTACAGAAAAAGTTGAATCCCAGCCTGGACGGAACGAATAACCAGCACCCATTAGTTGCGCCACTCGGGCCGCCCTGGCCAAGAAACCGAGAAACCAAGGCGATAATTTATTTATTTCGGATTATTTATTGCACATACATCATAATTCCTCGAGACCCGCTGGCGAATATATTTTATTCCTTAAGCACTCCCAACCCCCTTCACCCAAGACGCAAGAATTATAACTTTCCACAATGAAGGATGCGCCATAAATTAAAAATTCCAAACTTAAAAACGCAACAATAAATACACGACTCTCACGGAGGAGGGGCAACGAAGGAGGATTCCTGGCAATCGCCAGAAACAGGACATGCAGTTGATTTATTTCTCCGCTATGGAAAATCACAGAGAAGCGCAATTTTCCACCCCGCATCCCGCAAACTCGGGAGATGTTTCAAAGAAACGGAAGTATTTATTTCATAATCGTTATGATGTAATGAAGAAAGCGTCGACATTGTCGAGCGATTGGACGGGATTGCAGACTCGGATCATGTGCATTTTTCCACAGCAAAAGTATTTACAATTTAATATTTGTATATAGAAGGCTACTAGTATATAGTATATAGCGTATAGGATTGCAAATCCCCATAATATCGCATAGCCCTCGCACTTGGGAATCTGGGATGCAGCTCACAGTGTGAATGATTCAAGGAACTGCGCAAAATTGAAAGGACGAGTACGAATAAACCGAAACACATCCTCGACATCAAAATACGTGGCGCATATTAAATTCTTATCAAATCGGCACTCAAGGGATGCTCGTCTTGGCGGGGGAAGGGAGGGGCGCGCGATGGGATATAGATAGACTAGGGCGCTATTGTTAAAAGTTGGAAGGATTTCAGGGAACCCTCAACCATCACCACTACCACTACCTCAATGTACATGGATGTGAGGTCCCGCTGCGATATTAAAAACTTGTTGCTAATAAAAAGATTCGGCTATGGTTGTCGATGTCGCATTTTCATAATGCCCCCGATGATCATCACTGGGTGCAGTGGCAGATGATGCTGTTGATGATGACATCAATGACATTTGTTGCGGTTCAATAAATTCGCAAGCGCTTGGCAACACACCATATAGTCATCGCATACACTGAGAAAAACGCATTGCTTGCATCGCTCTCAAAGCGCTTTAATATGTATCTCGCAGATACATTTATAATTGCTATAGGCTTACTTAAGTGAATTCGCATTCGTTTGTTTATTAGAAAGTTGCGTTGAAGCTAAGCCCTATTTGTAATACAAGACTGGCTTAAACGAGTAGTTATTTTCAGAGTAATGTGGCTAGACTTTGCAGCTATCCATTGGATTGCACATGGAAGTTTCTTGCAGTGATAGCGCTTGTGTGTTCAGAACGCGTACCCGGCTATATGGACCCTAAGTAGGCTTGAGTCTCACTGCGCATTTAATTGTCGCTGAGGAAGGGTTGAGGGGGATGGCAAAGGGGAAGGGGGGCGGGGAGTATGTGGAGCGGGCCAGCTAAGCGTCGTAGTGGCAATTGTCAAAACGAAACGCTTCTCCATTCACCGGCAGCAGCGGGTGTTGTTTAGCTGTCGGATAATCCGATGCATGTTTCCGTTGATTAAAATGACATACATAGGGACACAGGGCCACAATTTGCCGCTGGGGCCATTGGACCCATGGATTTTCCCCGGGGGGGAAGCGGGCAACAGTCGATTGTCTATAAGCCGGCTGCAGTTCCCTGTATTTGAAGTGCCAAAAAGCACACTTTGGATGCCATTTTTTTGCGCCGCTTGTGCTCGTATTATTGAGTTGTCGAGTGAGCGCTTTGGCAAGGATTTATGCTCGATGGCGATATTTGTTTAGCCGCTTAGTTTACCATTTGTCCATTGTTTTTCATTTTTCCGATGCGCGTTCCCTTTGAACTCAGCTTAAGCGCAGAATGTGCTGCACAGTATTTCTCAAAAAAGTTAGCGAAAATGTAAGGTTCACATCAGATTATACACTTTAATTCCGAAAAAAGAGAAAAAAATACTTAAAAGCATTCAGAACCTGATTATTGCAAATTTGTTAATTATTAAGTTATTTCTCAAACAGTAAATCATGCTACTACAAGGTTTTATAACTAAGAAGATGTATGTGGCAACTCAAGTTATGTAGTATGATTTATTGATTCGGAGTAATCACTCCACTTGAGTGAGTAGTTATCGCGTTATAACGGGAATGTCAAAGACATTAACCCAACACCAGAAGCCCGAAAACAATAAACCCAAAACAGCAGGAAAACCCGGCAATACTGGGCATTGTGCTAATCATCTTCGGTGCTTTTATGGTGATTTTCTTTTTTTTTTGTTCTGTCGGCTTCACAACGGCCTCACATGGGAATAAGCGGCTGAGTCTTGGATTTGAACACCCAACTTATTACGTTCCCCAGCGCTGAAATTACTTAATCAAAGTTGGATTATCTGCCCAGCGCAGCGAGTAAACAGGCGGCAAGTGGGTGATGATGGGTGGCTTCTTGCATGGGTTCCATTTGAATTAAAAGCGCCAACTCGACCGGAAGTCGGCAATGCCGAGTTTGGCAGCCAGCAGGGGTACTTGGCACACATATGCCAGGCCACACTGTGGCAAGTCCGGTACAGAGAAAGAAACGCTCAGTAAGAGTGTGCAGATGTATTAAATTAGGTAAGCTACAGCTTACCAGTTGTTTAACAAAACAAAATGGCCATTATAATTAAACTTGGTATTTGTGTACAATCTAATAGTAAATTCACTCTGCGAATAAGTTATTGAGTAAATGCGAAACTTTTTTGGGATGTTATTTAATTTTTGTTGATATTTTGGCTCTGTGTGGCGTTTCAGGCTGCAGCTGGAACTAAATTAAATTCCGTGTCTAATGCTCGCCAAGGATTAGTACCAAACAACGCCTCAACTTGCCACGCCTCATCGCCTAAGACGGGCAATATTAAATAATTTTTCCCATCTACCATCTACCATCTCCCAGGACGCAGGACGCAGGACGCAGGACTCGGCACACACACATATGGCATGAATTCAGGAGCTCATTGTTTTGCATCGCAGTGAAGTGAAATGGAGTAGAGCCGAGGGTGTAGCTGAGTAAAGCTGTGGGTATCTGTGTGTGTGAGCCGGCTGTCCCAACCAGGAGACGAAAGATTAAAGTCTCCCGTGGCGAACTTAATAATAAAAGCCCAGGACCACAGTGCTCCTGCAATGCGAGTGTGGTGTTGGCACAAAAGTATTTAGTGGGCAGGGGCCAAAACCAGGGGATATTGGGCGCAAATCTTTTTTCGAGTGCCAGACATTAGCAGCATTAGACCAACAACAACAAGCTATCGCACACAGATATCACTTCTACTTCTATGTATATTTATATATGTATACTTTTATGTAGAGATATATGAAGCAGGCATTGCACAACACCGACACAAAACCCACAGGCAAAATGCAAAGCGGGGAAGAGTGGAAGCCACGGGTTCACCAAATAACCAAGGGACTTATGCCGACTCAGGCCGGGATTTGAGGTGTTTTCAGCGGGAATGGGGCTCATCGGTGGTTGGAAGCCAATGCAGTAAATGTATCTGCATTGTAAGCGGCAAATATGAAAATCCTGCGGAGCGGCTGCTCCTCATAATCTCGATTCGACATAGCGAACTTGTAATTATCATTGCGGCTCGTCTATTTGGGGAGCATTACAATAGGACGAAAAACATGAAAGTGTTATTAATATCATTCATTACTATATTCGTTTAAGTACTCTCGAATAATTTCATTTCATTTCCCTGCATTTATTTTCCCTGTTTCTTCTTAATGATGAAAGTGCGGATTTGCATGGGTTTCAAAGTAACACTGAACTCCGAGGCATTCTGAGATTTATCAGCTGCCAAGGGCTTGTGCAAACTGGTGAAATACTCCGGTTTTGAGGGAGCAGGACCAGAACCATCGTGGTGGAACTTTAGACGCTTCATGTCGCTTAGTGGCAGGTTGCCGTCCAAGGTCATTTCACGAATCTCCAGTCCACCGAGGTCATCGAAAATTTCCCGAATGCTGAAGCTAACCACATTGCCCTCAGTGTGATCCAAAAAGTTCTCGAAGCGCAGCAGGACCTCGTCCTTGGAATAGGGTTCTAGGGTGAGCAGATGAACAGACTGGGGCAAGTCATTAAAATCGGGCAACGACTTAGTTACACCGCTTTGGATGTTACTAGATTTGCTGAAGAACTTCCAGAAGGGCAGATGAATCTCCTTCTCGGCCACTCGTTCGGATGCAGTGGCTCCGTCCGCGACAGCGTCGAGGTAAAGGAACAGCTTGCCACGGGCAATCAGGCCCTTTCCGAACTGTTGTTCATTGATGGCTTCGGCAGCTCCAGAGCCGTCGGCGAAAATGTGACGACGATGCAGCATCATCTCCAAACGCCCGTCCTCCAAGCTGGCGCCTCCCTGGGAACGGTCATTGAGCAGGACCATTCGCTTGCTGCCATCCTGCAGAGCCATCCTGGATGTGACTGGATAGTAGTTCCCGCTCACGGGCTGCTCACTCAAATCGGGACTAAAGTCCTCCCGCTTGTCCTTTTCTCGCCGCATCATTTCACGGCCATTTGAGTCGGTGTAGAAGACGCCACCGGAGGAGATTCCACTTCTGAAGACGGTGACGATCTCCTTGCCCAGCTCATCGTCAATTGGAACAGGGCCCACCAGCCACTCGAACTCCACTCGATTGACTCCCTCGTAGATGCGGATCACTTGCGAGATCCACTCGCTTACGTGCTGGTGGACTTCCTTGACGGACTCACCCTCGTAAACAGTGAAGGCAAAAGCATCTTCCAGCAGTTCCAAGTCTGCATCCTGGCGGAATATGTAATGACAAGACCGGGCAGTCTTGTACATTCCAAAAGTCTGCTCAATGTCTTCGGAAACTCCGTTCATTTCGACGGTCTTCAAGCGCCCTGTTTTGTTGTCGATCACTAGTTTTATAAGCTAGTAACAAAGGAAAATATTTGGGGATGAGTTCCTCAAGTTGTTCTCACTGTAAAACTCACCGAATTTCGCACAATTGTCTCTTGATCATCAAGGGCTTCCAAATCGGTTTTCGAGGAGTGAACCTTCTTGAAACGCTTAGGAACATTCACGTTAGATTCTCTCTCAGTCGGGAACTGTTTAGTTTGAGGGGTTGCTATAGTCTTATCAATCTTTTTGATAAAGTACGTAGCGATCTTATTGACGGATGCCTTGAAAACCAGCTCATGCTGCGTGCCGTTGTTGCGGAATTCCAGAGCCAGGACTTGCCAGGGCACTGGGAACAGCTCAGAAGCCACCACTCGACCCTTCTCGTCGGTAACCTGGTAGTTTTTCTCCTGGACAGGCACTCGCACGTACTGCACCGACGTGTGAGCCAGTGGATTGTACAGGGTAACCACGAAGTCATCAGCATTTTCCTTGCTGAAGGCGCACTCGCTTATATTCAGTTTCAGACAGCTTTCGAACTCCCCATTTGGCTGATTGGTGAGCACGCGAAGAGCATCGCGGGCTGTGTTGGCGCCTCCCAAGATGGCATCATACAGGAGGCGATCGTAGTCATTGGACACTTCCTGTTTCTCGGTGCCTGTGATGGCATCGTGGTGCTGCATCACACCCATGATCTGGCGCAGATAGTCCAAGTCCTTGTTGTGCTCTGCACCTGAGAGATCAGCAAGGACACTCAGTTGCTTGGCCACCTGGAGGATATGGTTGCCATCGCGCTCAAATCGCTTCTGGGTGGGGCGAGAGGTGAAGAATCCTGTCCAGAAGCTCTTGGCCTCATGGGAATGGGGCAGGAAGTCCTGGGTCTTGTTTGGCCAGCTTTGGAGGCTCTTGTGCAGGGAGTTCAGATAGCATCCAGCGGTTGAGTAGAACACATTGTACTTGGAGCCACTGACTTGACGCTCATTGACATATCTAGAGATAATGATTTAAAAAACTGTACTTATTGGGCATATTAGACCTACTTGATCAGCTTGTCCATGTTCTTGTAGTTCATGTAGGCATTTTCATATTGAAAGTCGTCACCCATGGGCACCATTATGTGACTAGAGCGATAGTACCCAGCCAAATTGGAAGCATAGTTGAGGAAATCGTCCACCTTGGACTTGACGTTGTTGTCGTAGCTCTTGCCATCAATTATGGGATCATCTTGGCAGAGGGAGTCAAAGCAAAAGCCAGGCGGAGCAGAGTAGTGATTGTAGAGCATGCCGGTGAAGAAGTCCATTTGCTCCAGGGTCTCGCTGGCATCCCAGACCATTTCAAGGCCCAGGTTATCCACTCGTTTGTTCTTGTCATTCTGATCCATGCGCGCAAAGAACTGGCCATCGAAAGCCATTTGGGCAAACATGGATGCCTGCTCCCTAGAATGCCCAAAGGCATCGATCTGCCAGCCGACACGAGGGCGACCACAAGCCCCGAAGTTGTCATTCAGGAATCTAATCAAAATGGGTTTTCGATTGTATAATGAAGGAGTGTTGATTCATGCTGTACTTACTTTAAGCCAACGGCGAACTGGTCAATTACACTCTGGTAGTTCACGGCAGCTTCATCGTTCATGCTCCAGGCGCCACCCGTGAATTCCAGACGACCCTCGTTCACCAAAGTCCTGACCAGCTGCTTCTTGGCTGCCGACTGGTCCTCCCACCACTTGGCAAAGAAGCCGGTCTCCACCTGGATGAAGCGGCGCCGGGAGTCTTTGCTCAGCTCGGCGACAACGGTATCAAATATGTACTGCACTCCAGCGTGTTGAATGTTGTGCTTATTGCCATAATAGTACTGATCCACCGTTTTCAGCCAACCCAAGTCATCATGCGAGTGGGGCACCAAATGAATATTGATCATATTGGCCTTTGTTTCGGGACATGACTGTACAAGGGAAACACTTTAATACCTGTGCTTCCAAAGATCTCTTGTTCTGCTCACCTCATAGCCACAAACAGCCTCGGATTGCGTGATATAAGAGGCAAACAAGGCCAACAAAATGGCAAAAGTCTTCAAGGAACTCATCTTGCTGAGTGCCCTAACCAACGACTAAAAGCCAAGAACTGGCCTTACAATAAATGTTTCCACTTTTATAATCTTCTCAATGGGGGGTTATCTGATAAGTAATCACCACTTCAGCATGTTTTGAATTTTAAATAGTCCAGAGAGCCGATTAACTAAAACCAACCGCTAGTGAAAAGTCTCAAAGGGTAAGTACCTTGCGTTTTATTTGGGCCCCATGCGATGTTCCAGTGTTTGTGGCATAATCACACTGTACGTGTTGGCCTATCTTCGATTCGGCATGAATTGCAGTTCTTATCGTTCAATAACTTAAATGGATTTTAATAGCTAATTACCCTCTTGAAGATAACCAAAGGCTTATGACTGCGAGCCCCATTCAGTTTTAGGATTACAGTCTACAGAAAAAAGGGAAAGCACCACATGCAGAAGTAGCCGATAATGATTATGAGCCCAAAACTTATTAACAAAGTAACTTCACTGTTGATCATTTATTTCTCATACGTTTCCTACTCCTTTGTAATAATAAAAGTGCGAATTTGCATGGGATATAGTGTTACAGCGAACAGTGAAGCCTCGTCCGACTTGACCGCCTCAAGTGGCTTGTGCCGAGCCGTAGAATATTCTACGGATGCAGGATGGGTTCCGGATTCTTGGGCATGGAACTTAAGTCGCTTCATATCGCTCAGTGGCAGGCTTCCATCCAAGGTGGTTTCCCTAATCGCCAAGCCACCCAGACTATCGAATATATCACGTATGTTGAAGCTAGTCACCCTTCCTTCGAATTTATCCAAGAAGTGCTCAAAGCGGATCAAAACTTCATTCTCGTGGAAGTGCTCCAAGGTGAGTAGGTGGACAGACTGGGGAAGATCATCAAAGTCGGGTACGGATTTTGCTGCAGCTCTTTGCACTCCACCAGCCGTGCTAAAGAACTTCCCAAAGGGAAGGAGCAGCTCCTTCTCAGTCCGGCGTTCCGTCGCAGTATCTCCATCTGTAGCGGAATCGAGAGTGAGGTAAAGTCTTCCTCGGGCAATAAGACCCTTGCCATACTGCGTCTCATTCAGGGCTTCGCCCACGCCACCACCGTCGTTGAAGAGATGACGCCGATGGAGCAGCATCTCCAGGGCTCCATCCTGCAGGCTGGCTCCTCCCTGGGAGCGATCGGTCAGGAGGACCAATCGCTTGGCATCGTCTTGAAGAGCGATTCTCGATGTGACTGGATAAAAGTTGCCGCTCACGGGCTGACGGCTTAAGTCGGAGACGAAGTCCTCGCGCTTGTCCTTCTCACGTTTCATCAATTCACGACCATTGGAGTCGGTATAGAAAACCCCGTTCGAAGAAATCCCACTCTTGAAATTTGTGACAAATTCACTGCCTAGTTGGTCATCGATGGGAATTGGTCCCACCAGCCACTCCAGCTCCACTCTGTTTGCGCCCTCGTAGATGCGGATCACTTGCGAGATCCAATCGTTCACATGCTGGTGGACTTCCTTGACCAAACTTCCTTCGTAGACTGTGAACTCGAAATCATTTTCAAGAACTTCAATATCCCCATCCTGGCGGAAAGTGTATGCGCAAGAAGTGCGAGTCTTGTAAACGCCAAAGTTCTGCACTATTTGCTCAGACACACCGTTCATCTCGACGGACTTCAATCGTCCTGTTTGGTTGTCAATCACTAGTTTGACAAGCTGCGGGTTATTTATCGAAGGTATACAACGTTTTCGTTATTAGACAATTGAGGGCACTCACTGAGTTTTCCACTACAGTCTCTGAATTTCCATCTTCCCCGGGGCTTATCTGCTTTATAGTTGAATGTTTAGCCTCCGAGCTCTCGACCTTTTTGATGTAGTAACTGGCTATTTTATTTGCCGTGGCCTGGAAAACCAGCTCATGCTGGGTATCATTGGGTCTGTACGCCAATGCCAAAACCTGCCACGGCACTGGAACCACCTGCGATGGAACTGCTCTGCCCTTCTCATCAGTCACTTGGTAGCGCTCCTCCTTCACAGGAATGCGAACATACTGGGTGGAAGTGTGGGCCAATGGGTTGTACAGGGTCACCACCACGTTGTCGGCACCATCCTTGGTGAAGGCGCACTCGCTGATGTTCAACCTCAGGCAACTCTCGAACTCCCCATTGGGCATGTTGGCCAGAATCCGCAAGGCATCGCGGGCATTGTTAGATGCTCCAACAATGGCGTCGTACATCATTCGATCATAGTCATCCGAGACAGCCTGCCTCTCTGTGCCCGTAATGGCATCATGATGCTGCATCACTCCCATGACCTGGCGCAGATAGTCCAAGTCCTGGTTGTGCTGTTCGCTAGTAAGATTCGCGAATACAGAAAGCTGCTTGGCAATCTGCAACATGTGATTACCGTCCCGCTCGAATCTTTTCTGAGTGGGTCGGGACGTAAAGAATCCAGTCCAGAAGCTATTCTTCTCGTGGGCATATGGGAAGAAGTCCTGTGTCTTGTTTGGCCAGGACTGCAGGCTCTGGTGCAGGGAGTTGAGATAGCAGCTTGGAGTGGAGTAGAAGATATTGTAGTTGGAACCAGACGCCTGACGTTCGTTGATGTACCTAGCGGGAAGCAAAATTAGAAACTATTTACATGTCTTGATTACACCCACTTGATCAGCTTGTCCATGTTCTTGTAGTTGACTTTTGCGTCCTCGTACTGGAAATCTCCGCCCATAGGAACCATGATGTGGTTGGTAATATAGACATCTGACACATTCTGCGCATAACTGATGAAGTCATCTACCCTCTGCTTCACATTGTTTTCTTCGCTGGCGCCATCGATCACTGGCTCATCAGTACAGAGTATGTCGAAACAAAAGCCTGGAGTGTCCGAGTAGAAGTTGTACAACATGCCGCTGAAGAGACTGACGCCGCTCATCGACTCACTGGCGTCCCAAATCATCTCCATTGCCAAGTTATTCATACGCGCATCCTTGTCGTTGTGATCCATTCGTGAAAAGAACTGACCATCGTAGCCCATGTGGGCGAAAATTGCTGCCTGCTCGCGGGAGTGGCCAAAGGTATCGATCTGCCAGCCAACTCGAGGACGACCACAGGCGCCAAAGGTATCGTCGAGGAACCTACGAACATTACGTTAAAAAATCTGAAGATGTAAGGTATTAACTCACTTCAGTCCTACTGTGAACTGATCAATAACGGCTTGGTAGTTGACAGCTGCCTCGTCGTTCATACTCCAAGCTCCGCCGGTGAACTCGAAACGCCCCTCGTTGACCAGCTTGGTGACCGCCCTTTTAGTGGTCTCGGACTGGACGTTCCACCACTTGGCGAAGAAGGCCGTCTCCACCTGAATGAAGCGGCGCTTGGAGTCCTGGAGGAGCTGGGTCACCACACTATCCAATATGTATTGCACACCGGCATGATGGATTTTGTTTTTGTAACCATAGTACGACTGATCAACTGTTTTTAGCCAACCCACATCGTTGTGGGAGTGGGGAACCAAGTGGATGTTGACCATGTTCGCCTTTGTTTCGGGACATGACTGCAAAATATCTTGGCAGTGTTATCACTTCATAAGCGTTAACATATATCTTACCTCATAGCCACAAACTGCTCTGGATTGATTCACGAAGACCACCAATAAGATGGACAGGAGTAGAATGCGACCAAAATATGCCATCTTGTCATTACCAAGTACTGAATTTCTATTAAACCAAGACTGCTGCTTTATAGGGCGCACCGTTTCCAAGTGTGCAGTGATAAGAAAGTACATGATAAGGTAACCTAATTAGTAAATAGGGGTCGTTAAATACTTAAGACCTGATGAATACGGTTTCTTTTTTTAGAATGCCCCCCTCAACGTAGCAATAACAATTGGACACTTTATTTATCAACCACTTCATGAGGCTTGAAGCTCCTGTAATGCACTTGCACTCTAATTAATAAATTAGCACTTTAAAACGAGTATTCTCTAGACCTATTTTTGGTTGAATAAAAGAAATGTATTAATGTGGATGTTACTAAATCGAGCTTACATTCTGTGGGAAAGATTCCTGAAAAAAACCCTAGTCAAAAGTAACTTGAATTCTCAAGGCAGTAACTGCTAGTAAAGTTCTTTAATATTCACATGACTCGTATTATTCCTCCTCATGTAATAATTAGAGATATATCTGAAGAAGTACAGGCAAAACAACATTGTATTTTATTAAGACATCATTTTATTTATTTCTTTGATTTTCATTGAAATACAATTATTCATGCTTAATGATGAAAGTTCGAATCTGCATCGGATACAAGGTGACAGCGAACTCGCCGGCATCTTGGGTTTGATTTGCGGCAAGCGGCTTGTGGGACGAGGTGTAGTACTCAGGTTCCGATCCCCGAGCTCCAGAACCCTCAGCGTGGAACTTGAATTGCTTCATGTCACTCAATGGCAGGTTGCCGTCCAAGGTGGTCTCGCGGACTTCGACTCCGTTCAGGTAGTCAAAGATCGGGCGAATGTTGAAGCTGACCACCTTGCCCTCGATGTGATCCTTGAAGTTCTCCACACGCAGCAGCACCTCGTCGTCGTTGAAGGGCTCCAGGGTGAGCAGATGCACCGACTTGGGGAAGTCGTCAAAACTGGGAAGCGACTTGGCAGCAGCGGTGGTGCTGCCAGTATTCCTGCTGAAGAACTTCCAAAGGGGCAGGTGGAACTCCTTTTCGGCCTCGCGCTCCGCGGACGTGGACTCATCGGCGGCGTTCAGGATTAGGAACAGCTTACCACGAGCAATCATCGGCTGGCCGTACTTCTGCTCGTTCAAGGCCTCGCCCACTCCGTAGCCATCATCCCGGACGAGACGACGGTGCAACATGAGCTCAATCTGACCATCCTTCATGCTGGAGCCTCCTTGAGCACGATCGTTGAGCAGCGCAAGGCGCTTCTTGCTGTCCTGCAGAGCAATGCGGGATGTGATGGGATAGTAGTTTCCGGAAGTAGGCTGGACAGCAAGCTCCGGGGAGAAGTCCTCCCGCTTGTCCTTTTCGCGTCTAATCAACTCGCGTCCATTGGAATCAGTATAGAACACGCCATCGGAGGCAATTTCACTGCTGAAGACAGTAACCACTTCTGTGCCAAAGTCCTCTTCCACTGGAATAGGGCCTACAAGCCACTCGAACTCCACGTAGGGCTTGTCTTCGCTGATACGGATGACCTGGGAAATGTAGTCGCTGAAGCGCTGGTGGACTTCCTTGACTAATGCGCCATCGTAAACAGTGAACTCGACGCCATCTTTCTGGATGACGAAGTCTCCTTGGTTGTACTGACGGAACACATAGGCACCAGAGTCATAGGTCCTATAGAGACCATAGCTCTGCTCAATGTTCTCGGATACTCCGTTCATCTCAACCCTCTTCAGTAGGCCAGTTTTGTTGTCGAGCACCAACTTGATCAGCTAATGGATGTGAAATAGTTTGGTAAAAGTGTTTCCATTAGGCATCCATCAGTTTTGTGCACTTACCGATGTCTGCACCACAGTCTCCTCGTCATCGTAGGTCTCAGCATTCTGCTTAGGCTGAGAAATTATCCTTACGCCATTCGAACTCTCCTTACCATCAACCTTCTTGATGTAGTAACTACCGATTTTGTCAACGGATGCCTTGAACACCAATTCGTGCTGAGTGCTGCTGTCACGGAACTCCAGAGCCAGGACCTCCGCGGGCACTGGAACCACTTCGGAGGCCACCACGCGGCCCTTCTCATCGGTCACCTGGTAGTTCTCGTTCCTCACAGGCACGCGCACATATTGCTTGGTGGTGTGGGCCAATGGGTTGTACAGGGTCACTACCACGTTGTCGGCACCGTCCTTGGTGAAGGCGCACTCGCTGATGTTCAGCCTCAGGCAACTCTCGAACTCTCCGTTGGGCAGATTGGTCAGCTTTCGAAGAGCAGCGCCGGCAGTTTTGACTCCTCCAAGGATGGCATCGTACAAAATGCGATCGTAGTCATCGGACACGTGCTGCTTCTCGGTGCCAGTGATGGCGTCGTGGTGCTGCATCACACCCATGATCTCGCGAAGGTACTCCAGGTCCTCCTTCTGTTCCGCACTCGAGAGCTCCGCGAAGGCGCTGAGCTGCTTGGCCACCTGCAGGATGTGGTTGCCATCGCGCTCGAAGCGCTTCTGGGTGGGACGGGAGGTGTAATAGCCAGTCCAAAAGCTGTTGGTATCGCTGCCGTAGGGGAAGAAGTCCAGAGTTTTGTTTGGGTAGGACTGCACACTCTTGTGCACGGAGTTCAAGTAGCAGGTGGGTGTGGAGTAGATGATGTTGTACTTCGAGCCGCTGGATTGACGTTCGTTGACGTACCTAACATAGATATTAAAGTAGTTAGAAAACACTGAATTTAAGGTAGCCAGATTCTATGCGTACTTGATCAGTTTGTCCATGTTCTTGTAGTTAACCTCGGCATCTTCGTACTGGAAGTCACCGCCCATAGGAATCATAATGTGGTTTGTGCGGAACTTTTCGGCTACTTGGGCGGCGTAGGCGATGAAGTCATCCACCCTGGACTTGACATTGTTGTCGTAACTATCGGTGTCAATGATTGGATCGTCGCTGCAGTGAACGTCGAAGCAAAAGCCGGGAGTTTCCCAGTAGAAGGTGTACAGTAGTCCAGTGAAGAGCTTGACTTGGCTCAACGACTCACTGGCATCCCAAATCATCTCCAGAGCCAGGTCGTTCATCCGTCTGCCTTTGTCGTTGTGATCCATGCGGGAGAAAAACTCACCATCGAAGCCCATCTGGGCGTAGATGGAGGCTTGTTCACGGGAGTGACCAAAGGGATCGATTTGCCATCCCACACGAGGGCGACCACAAACTCCAAAAGTGTCATCCAGGAACCTTTTATGTAAAAGGTACTCTTACAATTTGTATCCAAAGTCGTTTCACCACCATAACTTACTTCAATCCGACTGTGAACTGGTCGATCACACTCTGGTAGTTCACGGCCGCCTCATCGTTCATACTCCAGGCTCCGTTGATGAACTGGAGGCGACCCTCGTTCACCAGCTTCCTCACGATTGCCCGCATGGTCTCCGACTGCTCGTCCCACCATTTGGCGAAGAAGGAGGTCTCCACCTGGATGAATCGGCGATCGGGATTCTTGATCAGCTCGGAGATGACGGTGTCGATGATGTACTGCACTCCAGCGTGCTGGATGTTGTTCCTGTGGCCGTAGTAGTACTGATCAACGGTCTTCAGCCAGCCCACATCATCGTGGGAGTGGGGCACCAAGTGTATGTTGATCATGTTCGACTTGGTTTCATGGCATGACTAAAAACCAAAAATGCTTATTTTAGCTTGGTTTATTCGGGTGATACTTTTCGTTTCCTCACCTCATAGCCACAAACAGCTTGGGCTGACTTAGCTTGAAGGACCAGGAAGGCAACGCAAAGGACGATGCCCAAGAACTTCATTGTGGGATTCCTTGGTCTTCCAAGTCTGTGTAACCGATGGTTCCAGGTGGGAACCGCAACTGAATTCTTAGCTTTTGAAAACCCGGCCATTTATATCAGAGATTGTTGATAAGCAATCGGCACTTGAATCATTATCGGATTAAGTCAAGCGCACTTCGAATTCAGTTAAGTGTATTTTAATCATAATGGGTTAATGACGCCCGCGCTTCGATCAATGGCTAAACTTATAAACAAATGAACCTTAGTTCTACTACTGGTCATTGGCGACTTTTATCTTAATAGGCCTCCATAAAAGATTGCTTCTGTTTTGACAGAGTTGCAGTGCTTATCTGCTGATTAGTCAAACCAATTTGTAGTTGTCGATTGCATCCAAACACCATTTATGGCATTGTACTGGAAGTTATCAGAAGGTAATATGCTCTATAGCAACACATAACTTCCATTCGGAAATTTGAAAGCCCCACGCAAAGTCGAAGTGATGAGATACAGTGGAGTACCAAGGCTAACGATAAAATAATCCAAAGCCAGCAAACCACTCATGGTGACCTGAATTCTCCTTAGCAGCAAAACACTTACGTGATATCGCGGATTCTAGTTTTCAAGTTCATACTTATGTTAGGTAATATTTTAAGTTAAAGCAAAAGCTTTCTTTAAGGCACAGAAATTAAATTAGGTTGAAATTTAAGGATCTAAAATACCCCAACCCAATATAGACTACATAGACTTTCCATTTAAATGTTTATATATATTTAAATATATTTAAAAATCATCATGACAGGAAAAATGAAAAATATAACAAATATTTTTTATAATATAATAAATATAGTAAATAATATTCTACGAGTATCAAAGAAATCTTCATTTATTCGAAACGAAATTCATATTTTGAATAATACGAAGCAACTAATAATAATAAATAATAATAAAATTATAATAATACTGAACTGATTGTATTTATACAAAAAATTGCCAAAAAATGAGTTTGAGCCCAACAAATGGACGAATGGTTTTGATATGGCATTGAAACTGAAGTTTCTTAAATTAAATGTTTTTAACAACCATGAAATGTTGACAAATATTGCCCAAGTACCCAAAATATGATTTCGTTGTAGGGAAGACAACCGCAACATTAACTGCCAATAATGTAACCCCCTTCTACCCCTAATGCAATAAATTGGTTTTCAAGGAAGTCTTTACATGTTGACATAGAATTTATTTATTAAATTATTTACATTTCACGAAATACTGAGAACGTTGGTTTACTCCGTCTTGATGATGAAGGTGCGGATCTGCATTGGGTGCAAGGTGACGCTGAACTCGGAGGCCTCCTGAGACTGCTCTGCGGCCAGAGGCTTGTGGGCGGAGGTGAAGTACTCGACAGCTTCCGGCTTGTGTCCGGAGCTATCGTGGTGGAACTTGAATCGCTTCATGTTGCTCAGTGGCAGGTTGCCGTCCAAGGTGGTTTCGCGGATTTCGACTCCGTTCAGGTAGTCAAAGATCGGGCGAATGTTGAAGCTGACCACTTTGCCCTCGGTGTGGTCCAGGAAGTTCTCCACACGCAGCAGCACCTCGTCGTCGTTGAAGGGCTCCAGGGTGAGCAGATGCACCGACTTGGGGAAGTCGTCAAAACTGGGAAGCGACTTGGCAGCAGCGGTGGTGCTGCCAGTGTTCCTGCTGAAGAACTTCCAGAAGGGCAGGTGGATCTCCTTCTCGGCCTCGCGTTCCGCGGATGTGGATGTGGACTCATCGCTGGGGCTGAGAATCAGGTACACCTTTCCACGGGCAATCATGGGCTGGCCGTACTTCTGCTCGTTCAAGGCCTCGCCCACTCCGTAGCCGTCATCCCGGACGAGACGACGGTGCAACATGAGCTCCAGCTGGCCGTTGATCATACTGGCTCCTCCCTGAGCACGATCGTTGAGGAGCGCAATGCGCTTCTTGCTGTCCTGCAGAGCAATGCGGGATGTTACTGGGTAGTAGTTGGCTGCAGTTGGCTGCCTGTCCAGACCGGGAGTGAAGTTCTCACGCTGGTCCTTCACACGCTTGATCATTTCACGGCCATTGGAGTCGGTGTAGGAAACGCCGTCGGAGGCAATGGTGCTGTTGAAGATGATGACCACTTCCCTGCCGAACTCTTCTTCCCGCTCAATGGGTCCGACCTGCCACTCGATCTCCACGAGGTTCTTGCCCTCGTAGATGCGAATGACTTGGGAGATATATTCGCCAAACTGCTGGTGGACTTCCTTGACCAATGCTCCATCGTAGACGGTGAACTCAACACCTTCGTACTGGACGATGAAGTCAGCCTGGTGATACTGACGGAAGACGTATGCACCGGAATCATAGGTCCTGTAGACACCATAGCTCTGGTCGATGTTCTCGGATACTCCGTTCATTTCGACAGTCTTCAGCAGACCGGTTTTGTTGTCGATCACAAGTTTGATTTGCTATTAAAGGAAGGCATCACAATGTTACTTTCCACACAAAATGAGCTGAACTCAGTAACTTACCGAAGTCTGCACCACAGTCTCTCCTTCAACATCGTCATAGGTCTCAGTGGCATTCTTCAGGGAGTTAACCTTCTTGAAACGCTTGGGCACCTCCAGCTTAGATTCTTCATCCTTGATGGACCTCTTCGATTGAGTGTGTGCAGCGGCGTTCTTTGTCTCCTGGCTGGCGACCTTCTTAATGTAGTAGTTAGCGATCTTATCAACGGAGGCCTTGAAGACCAGCTCATGCTGGGTATCATTGTTGCGGAACTCCAGGGCCAGAACCTGCCAGGCCACTGGCACCACTTCGGAGGCCACCACGCGTCCCTTCTCATCGGTCACCTGGTAGTTCTCGTTCTTCACCGGCACGCGCACATATTGGGTGGAAGTGTGGGCCAATGGGTTGTACAGGGTCACCACCACGTTGTCGGCACCGTCCTTGGTGAAGGCGCACTCGCTGATGTTCAGCTGCAGGCAACTCTCGAACTCTCCGTTGGGCAGATTGGTCAGCTTGCGCAGACCATCACGCGCAGTGTTGACTCCTCCAAGGATGGCATCATACAAAATGCGATCGTAGTCATCGGACACGTGCTGCTTCTCGGTGCCAGTGATGGCGTCGTGGTGCTGCATCACACCCATGATCTCGCGAAGGTACTCCAGGTCCTCCTTCTGCTGCTGGCTGTTCAGGTCGGCGAAGACACTGAGCTGCTTGGCCACCTGCAGGATGTGGTTGCCATCGCGTTCGAAGCGCTTCTGGGTGGGACGCGAGGTGTAGTATCCGGTCCAGTAGCTGTTATCGTCACTGCCGTAGGGGAAGAAGTCCTGGGTCTTGTTGGGCCAGGTTTGCAGACCTTCATGGAGCGAGTTCAGGTAGCAGGCGGGGGTGGAGTAGAACAGGTTGAAGGTGGAGCCCTCGGACTGACGCTCGTTAACGTACCTAGGTGGGGTCAAGGGATGAGTTTGGGTAGCAGCTATCAGGATCCTTAGCACTTACTTGATGAGCTTGTCCATGTTCTTGAAGTTGACCTGGGCATCTTCGTACTGGAAGTCATCGCCCATGGGGATCATGATGTGGTTGGACCGGAAGTGCTCGGCCACCTCAGTCACGTACTTGAGGAAGTCATCCACGCGGGACTTGACGTTGTTGTCGTAGCTCTTGGTGTCAATAATCGGATCGTCTCCGCAGTGGACATCGAAGCAGTAGCCGGGAGGAGCCGAGTAGTGGCGGTACAACAGACCAGTGAAGATTTCATCGTTGCTCAGCGAGTCACTGGCATCCCAGATCATCTCCATGCCCAAGTTGTCTTTACGGTCGTTCTTGTCGCGGTGATCCATGCGGGCGAAGAACTCTCCATCGAATCCCATCTGAGCGAAGATCGAGGCCTGCTCACGGGAATGACCGAAGGGATCGATCTGCCAGCCAATGCGGGGACGGGCGCAGGAGCCGAAGGTGTCGTCCAGGAATCTGATATATACCAGCTGCCATTAGAATCCCGACTTTGTACCTTGTCTCCCCAACACCTACTTCAATCCCAGTGTGAACTGATCGATAACACTCTGGTAGTTCACAGCGGCCTCATCGTTCATGCTCCATGCTCCGCCAGTGAATTCCAGACGACCCTCGTTGACCAGTTTCTTTACGACCTGCTTCACAGTCTCCGACTGCTCCGCCCACCATTTGGCGAAGAAGGAGGTCTCCACCTGGATGAAGCGGCGGGAGGGATCCTTGATCAACTCGGCGATCACGGTGTCGATGATGTACTGCACTCCAGCGTGCTGGATGTTGCTCCTGTGTCCATAGAAGTACTGGTCGACGGTCTTCAGCCATCCGACATCGTCATGGGAATGGGGCACCATGTGGATGTTGATCATGTTCGTCTTGGTTTTGGGGCATGCCTGAAAAGCATTATACGTTTTGTACAGCTTAGTTGTTTGCCAGGCAAGTAATTAAGCTGGCGACTTGAGCATTAAATCTCATGTTCATTAAGCACTCATTTTGCCGTTCTTAAAATCACTCCATATTCAAATTCCAGATATTATTCCTGCGGCATTCTGGCACTCTGGCATTTACTTCTCACCTCGTATCCACAAGCCTCCTCAGATGGCCTCACACTGAGGGCCAAAAGGGCGACAAGGAGCACAATGCCACTCAAATACTTCATGGCGACGACTATCCAATTTCTTTTCGAACTGACCGCGAATACAGTTTCGATTCGAGAACAGAACTGACTTCCTGAAATATTGGCACTGCTTTTATAGGAGGGATCCGAGCGGTTTTAGCCTGATAAGCAAATACTTTAGACCCTCGAGAGGCTCTTGCTTAAGCTTAGGGCCAATAAAACGCTTTAACGATAACCCAAAGCTTAGGCATAACCTGATACTCTAACTACGAAGTTCAAGTTCAGTGTATTTGCGATTCACTGGCAATGCATATCTTAACTGGTATCTTAATTGGCTCTTTTCGCTGCCAAGCGATTAGTAAAATGACTTCCCATTGACGATTACGCGATGGTACTTGTTATACAATGTTTATGGATTTGTACCAAAGAGTAGTGCCGGCAATTATTTCATGCGGACCAGCAAATTCAGACCCCAAACGGGGCGCTAATACTTGGGGGGCTAAAGGTCTATTTTCGGTCCGATTTAATAGCCCTTCAGGAAATCATGAGTACCTGATTACATCGAGGAGTGTTTTGAATACTAGGACCACAGGCAAATGATTTGAATTTGTTATCACAATCCTCATTAGTCGCAATCGATTAAGAGTTTTGTTTTCGATTATAAAAAAACGACTCATATTGGGCAATTGAAACATATGCCATTTTTGTTTGCACACACACTTTAAAACACTGTTTAATTCAAAACATTATAAACTCGTTTGGGTACTCAAAATTCTTGCATTCAGTAGGACGTAAGGCATTCGATAAAGCACTGAAATATAGCCAAATGTATGTTGTATGATAAGCCGAGGGCAAAGACTTGGTTTAAATTGATTCCAAAAAGGGAGAGTATCTTTTTGAAGAGAATACTTGAGATCGCAACAATCACCGGCATCAGACGCTTCAAACTCAACCAGGGTATTGCATTTCTTTTAGGCCGGAAAATGATCACAACTGGCCTTTCGTTATCATCGATCCGCGGAGTGACATGGACTCCATCGCCAGCAGCAGATAGGTCAATGCTGGGTTCTTGGGGCAAGGGCACCACTTCGAAGTCCGCAGTCTCCTCCCGGGGCTGCCAATGTGAAAGAGGCACTATTTCCACATTTGGCTCGATGTGTTGTGGACGATTCTCTGCCGGGCGTAGAAAGTCGGCGATGTAGGTCCAGTGGAGGTGAAGTTCTGCCGGTATGCCAACCATATAGATATAGGGATCTCCCAGCTCTACAAGTTGTTCCATTATATTGATCTGCTTCTCACAAACAATTTTGGCTTACAAATGAAGATTTTCACCCTTTTGTTACACACAAAAAGAGAAGTGAAGGGAAAAGGATATATGATTTTCTGAGTTTTCCTAAGGTTATTCCTAATTTTTGAATATGAATTTTAATTCGTTGATCAAGCCAAATCAAATGCACTGCTGAACGACCTGGATGAACTCAATGAGAACAAATTTATTCAACTTTTAATGAGACTGCCGCCCATATAAAGACATATTTTTTAATGAAGCAAAAACGGCAATTATGCAGCACATTCGTATTTATGCACATATCCCTTTTTGCAGCCAACACTATTGCGAACGACGATGATTGCATAAAATCGCTTAAATGCAAAACTCATTAAAATAATTGCAAAATGCAAAAGTATAACAAACACATGGAAGTCGACGTCCCAGACCGCCGGCGAACAGTGGGCACAGTAAACACACAGCGAACGGCACACACTCATTAAACCAACCATAAATAATTAACAAAACAATTTATTTTCAAGGATATAACCGGGCCGGGCTGGGGTGGACCTCATTCCCAATCCCAATCCCAGTCTCAGCCTGAGTCTATAATTGCGTCGCATTATCCTTCAGCCAGTGAGACTGCACTGCCTGCACTCGCGTATGCAAACTTCAAAGCTCATTTATGTGGTCGCTTGTCTGCGTCGATGCCAAGATGAAAAGCCAAAAAGTACATGGCAAATATATGGGCAAAAACATGCAAAATGCAAAAAAAATACATGTAAAAAAAAAGCAGGAAAGCAAAATTGTGTTGACAAACAAACAGCGTCTAAAAGTCAACAAACCATGCGGCCCAGGGCTGACTGTCGCTGGCTACTGATGTGTGATATCTGAAAACACTTAAGCAGTCCACACACATGACGCATACGCCGTGTGTGCGGGTGTAGTTTGCGAGTCATTAAAAGCAAATAACCTCAAAGCAAAGAGCTGCCGCTTCTCTTGGTCTCTCCGGACCACTTGAGCCCCATAAACGCTGGCTAGCTGGCTGGCTGGCAAAAAGAAGTGCTCGCTTTCCTCATGGCCATGTCCAGTTGGGGTTCACAGGATAAACACCGCATCAGCCCAGTTGTCCGCAAACACTTTTGTAATTAATTGCGCATGGCCGACGCAAATGTCAGGACCTCAGGACCTTAGTGTTCCGGCCGGAGATCTCCGCCTTAGATCCACTCAAAAGTCATCCAGTGCGTTGGTCAAAGGTGGTTCCGGATGCCACGCAACATTTCAGGGATGAATTACGGAGCTTTTCGAGCGGTAAACGGATGCGGAAAAGATTAATGGGCTTATGATTTTTCTTAGATTTCGTCCTAGCTTGTATACTTAGTCTAAAACATATGAGGCGCTCCATGATGTTTAAATTTTATACTTTATTACCTATATTGATTGATATCCTTAAGCTGGATATTCAGTAGAGCGAGCAGCGAACGAATTCAAATGTTGTTTTGTTCTTTTCCGTGAGACTGTTGCCCTTCTCTTAACGAGTTTAGCATAATTAATTGCCTTGTCGAAATGTGTGCAAATGGAGCACGCTGCAGTGCCGCAGGTCCTGGCTAAGGATCTGCACACCTCCTTATTCCCTTCTTGGCTGGCACCACTCCGCTCCACTCCGGCACTGCAGTAAAATATTGTTTCGTGCCGCTCGAGTATTGCATAATGCAGCACCATGAATTAAAGGCCTCCTTTGGCATCTGAACTCGCTCGTCCTTGTGAGCATCTCCTTGTCACTGGGGTGTTCTCATTAGCACGGCTCGAGTGGATTCGGCCCTGGGGGAACTATTTAGCACACAACAGCGGCAAACGGGGGGAAAATATCAGAATGAAGGCATTCGAGTGTTACGTTACAGCAACAATTGCGAGAAGAACTTTGTCGATTCTACAGTGCTGGAGCTAATTTTGAATTTACAGCAGTATGGCCAAGATAGAATGCTATAGTCGAGCTCCCCGACTATCAGATACCCATTACTCAGCTAGTGGAAGTGCAAACGAGAAATTTCTACATTTTCTGCAATATCGGTAGAAATTGGGAAAAAAGTAATAAGGTTTGTAGGCATTAGAGTGGACGTGGCAACATTTGGCGCTCCGTCTATGTCTCTGAAAGCCGCATGTTTAATCTCAACATTCTAGATTTTGTAGTTCCTGAGATCGAAGCGTTCATTCGGACAGACGGACGGTCAAATTTTGTTCGAATTTAATTTTTTCGAATTTCTACATCATTCATCAAAAAATTAAGAAAATATAGAATTAAAAAATTAAAAAAAAATAAATTTCTAAATTTGAATGCAGTTTTATAGAGAATTGCGCCAGAAACATTTAGAGGTATGCCACTTCAAAATCCGATTAAAATAAGTTGAGTTATGGACTTTAGAACTTTAGCCTTGGGACATTTCTTAACATTCTTGAATGTGTACAACATCACATCAAAAAAAGTACAAAAAAATTGAAAAAAATAAATTTCTAAATTTTAATGCAGTTTTATAGAGAATTGCGCCAGAAACATTTAGAGGTATGCCACTTCAAAATCCGATTAAAATAAGTTGAGTTATGGACTTTAAAACTTCAGCCTTGGGACATTTCTTAATATTCTTGAATTTGTACAACATCACATCAAAAAAATTACAAAAAAATTGAAAAAAAATAAATTTCTAAATTTTAATGCAGTTTTATAGAGAATTGCGCCAGACACATTTAGAGGTATGCCACTTCAAAATCCGATTAAAATAAGTTGAGTTATGGACTTTAGAACTTCAGCCTTGGGACATTTCTTAACATTCTTGAATTTGTACAACATCACATCAAAAAAAGTACAAAAAAATTGAAAAAAAATAAATTTCTAAATTTGAATGCAGTTTTATAGAGAATTGCGCCAGAAACATTTAGAGGTATGCCACTTCAAAATCCGATTAAAATAAGTTGAGTTATGGACTTTAGAACTTCAGCCTTGGGACATTTCTTAATATTCTCGAATTTGTACATCAAAAAAATTACAAAAAAATTGAAAAAAAATAAATTTCTAAATTTGAATGCAGTTTTATAGAGAATTGCACCAGAAACATTTAGAGGTATGCCACTTCAAAATCCGATTAAAATAAGTTGAGTTATGGACTTTAGAACTTCAGCCTTGGGACATTTCTTAATATTCTCGAATTTGTACATCAAAAAAATTACAAAAAAATTGAAAAAAAATAAATTTCTAAATTTGAATGCAGTTTTATAGAGAATTGCGCCAGAAAAATTTAGAGGTATACCACTTCAAAATCCGATTAAGATAAGTTGAGTTATGGAGCTTAGAACTAATGGAGTTCAGAGTAACGGGTACAAAAAGTATTTGATTGTAAGGTATATTTTAACAAACTCATTAAATTCCATGAACTGACTTTCGTTGTTGCCTTCAATACGTCAATCATCAGGGGCGTAGGGCAAAGGGGCACGGATTTGCCTTGAGATGAGTAATTAAAACATTTTTCACTTTGCATCTCTGCTGCTTTGCTGTTTGTGTTCTAGTTTGTTTTTGAGCCACGCGCTTCTTACAAGTTATAAAGCATGAATTGCAGATGAGTTTGGGTTGGGGCATGTCAGGCATGACAGATATGCTACGTTAGTTCTAACTTTTTGTATACCAATAAAAATTTCTATCTAAATTTGCATTTTAGTTTTTGGACCCAACTAATCACTTACGCTTTTTTGCTGCCATCTGAAAAAACATTATCTGCATTATTGGTTTGGCCTTATCAAATAGGTAAACAAAGCCCGAAGCACTTTAATTTCTCAAAAATTTATTGCTTCGATTTGTCGATTGATAATCCTAATGGCACACTTAACAAGAATTATAATGTAATTAAAGATTGCGCCCTTGTTAGTCAACTGATTAGCTGGCGGACACGTGTGAAATTCTGTAGTAAAAATCACTTGAAATCGAAAATGAAGCTTAAAGTAATCAATGGTAATTATCAGAAAAAATGATAGGACTATTACTCAATAATGCCTATTTCGCTGAGACTTCCACTTAAAATGCCTGGACATCTTTGCAATAAGGTGATTAGGAGGTAATTGAAATTTCCGTTGTTGCCACATGCAACTTTCCTCGCAAGTAGCGCATTCCTCAACTACTTAAGCCTAATCTAAACAATTGCCGTTTTCCTTGGCTGCATCCACAAAGTGTTGGCTTCAAGTGCAGTTGGTTCTGTTGCAGCAACGAGTTTCGTTTTCCTGCTGCTGCTCCTAATGTCGTTTTTGTGTTTCACTCTTTTTTTTATTTCTGTCACCTGTTTCAACACTTGAAATGTGACGGCAGCCGCCAAACAACCTAATTAGTATGCAAAACACATTAAGTGGCAGCCAACTACGTTGCCGCAGTACTCAGTACTCATGGAAAAAGAAAACGAGAATGGCAAAAAAAAATAAAAAAAATAAAAAGGGGACGCGGAGTGGGTGGTGCTGTAGGATTACCTCGGCGGAGGCGGGCCATTGTTTTCGCAACCTACAAAACATTTCAAATGGAAATTTTACTCCCGCCAGTGCGCCGTGCTGTTGCGGCGATATTGACAACCTTCACCTTCATTGATGCCTATAATTAGTGCAGCACACAACAACAACAGCATAGATCGGCAGCGGGGGGACTTAACCGCCAGGGAGCTGTTTATTAATCATACGCCACGTTGACGCCGACTCAACGAGCCATCATCGTCATCGGGGAGTCCTTGGCTGGTGTGTGCTAATTAAGCCTTCGATTAATTTACGCCTTTTGGCCTCAAACGTCAGCGTGAAAACAAAGAAAATTAAAAGCCCGCCGCTCGAACTTCAAAAGCCGGAAACGGAGCGAGCCTCTAACCTCGGCGCCCTCGGATCCCAGATACTGCATTCCGGATCCTGGTCGCCGGATCCGGGTGTCTGCCTGTGCCCGAAAGGCAGTCCGGGATATGCGTTAATGATGCCATCGAGCCGTCAGAGTGGATGACACTGTCTGGGCTTAGTGGCTCCGTCCCTCTGCTCATCATCATCACGCTTTTCGGCGAGGGCGTGGGCGTGGTCGTGGT